TTTACCGAAACTCCAATCACACTCTTTTAATCCATCATCACAAGTGAAAAACCTGGGCGTAATCTTTGACTCTGAGCTGACTTTTATTCCTCACATCAAGAACATCACAAAAATAGGTTTTTATCATTTAAAGAACATCGCCAGAGTCCGCCCCATTCTCTCTCGGGCCAACACGGAGACGCTGATGCATGCTTTTATCACCAGTCGCATTGACTACTGTAATGCCCTGCTCTCTGGTCTTCCCAAAAAGAACATTTCAGGTTTACAATTACTTCAAAACTCGGCCGCACGTGTCCTGACTAAGACCAGGGGGCGGGACCACATTACACCGGTTTTAAAATCGCTGCATTGGCTCCCCGTGTGTTTCAGGATCGATTTTAAGGTTCTTTTAATGGTCTTTAAATGTCTTAATGGTCTTGGGCCTTCTTATCTTTCAGATTTGCTTTTATCCTATGAGCCTTCCCGGCCCCTGCGCTCCTCCGGCAACAGACTCCTAACCATCCCCAAAGTCAGGACACACACTCACGGCGAGGCATCTTTCCAGCACTACGGCCCCCGTCTCTGGAACAGTCTGCCGGAGGAGCTCAGGGCCGCAGAGAACGTTCATATTTTTAAGAGTAGGCTCAAGACGCACCTTTTTAGAGCAGCTTTTGATTAGTATTTATTATCTATTATTGCTTTTTAGTACATCTATTTATGTTTTTAGACGGATTATATTTTTATTTATTTTTATTATTTGCTATTTTTAATTATTTATTGTATCTACCCATTTACTATTGTTATTATATTAGGCAGCTGCCATTTTTCTTTTTATTTTCACATTCTATTGTTCTACTTTCTATTGTATTATTGTATTGTTTTAGTGTCCCCAGTGTTTCCTCTGGAGGAGCCCTCTGCACTGAGAGCTGGGGTCTGCTGTGGCTTCGGGGGACTGGCTCTTGGATCCGGTGGGGGTCTGGGGCCTCCTCTCTCCTCTGGGTCCTATGGGGTCTGAGTCCTGGGCCTGGTGGGGTCTGGGGCCCCTCTCTCCTCTGGGTCCTGTGTCGTTGCCTGTGGCTGCAGCCGGCTCTCTGCTCCTGGTGCAGATGGCTCCTTGGATGACGCTTCTTCAGCCGGTTACCTCTGCTCCCAGCCCCATTTCTTTTTATTGTTTTACCTATTTTACCTGATATGACTTTATACTTGTGTATATGTGTGTGTGTGTGTGTGTGTGTGTGTGTGTGTGTGTGTGTGTGTGTGTGTGTGTGTGTGTGTGTGTGTGTGTGTGTGTGTGTGTGTGTGTGTGTGTGTGTGTGTGTGTGTGTGTGTGTGTGTGTGTGTGTGTGTGTGTGTGTGTGTGTGTGTGTGTGTGTGTGTGTGTGTATTGTATATATAATTATAAATGTGATTTTGGGGGGTCTGTGGGGAGGAGGGTTTAGGGCTGGGCATGTTGGATTGTTTTTAACTAAACTGTAAAGCACTTTGTGTTACACTTTTTGTATGAAAAGCGCTTTATAAATAAAATTTGATTGATTGATTGATTGATTGTTATGAACTGAATGAATTTTCCCTTTCATTAACAGCTCATGTTGGTTGTGCCCAAAAGTAAAAGGTTGTGAGTGAATCAAACAGATTTCAGTACTTTTGGTATGAATGACATTGTGTCATTACATTTGATATTCTCATTTAACTTCAACTGAGTTAACTCACCATTACTATGCGATTAATCAACTAAAATATAGTAATCGTTTGACAGCCCTAATATAAATACGCACACACACACAACAATATCTAATAACTACAATATCTAACTACAATAAAAAAAAATAAAAAAAAATCAAGCATACTTTTTCACTTTACACATCACTTAATGGAAATTCTATGTGTTGCTGAAAGTAAAGTTCCTTGCCCCTTCAGTCAAGGTCACAAATTACACCTGCAAGCGGCAAAAAAAGGCCCTTTAACCATTCCAAATCTTATCTATTTATAATCAAAAACGACATAAATTCACTGTAAAATATTTAGTCTAGCTGTCAAGTTGGGGCTTTCATGTTTCATAATGAAAAGGAGCGTTTGTTTTTAATGTTACTATACACCAATTATTAACAACACTAATCTTGAGGGCAATGTAGATGACCTAAAGAGGCTCACTAAGGGCTGAAATAATCATTGCATTAAAATAGATTTGGCTATGGGAAAGACTACTGGACAAACTGGAAGGAAATAAACATACAGATACGCTCTCAAACCAAATCAAACCATGTAAGGCTGAGGATGACCACAGTTACTCAAACAGGTGAAAGTAAGTGTTGACCTCAGTTGTAGTAAAACCATTACCAGAGCTCAACGCGGCCTCGGGACACAGAAACTAAGCACACCTGGAGTCCCACCCCGTTCAGACACATGTCACTCAAAAATGTAGCACCCGCCTCCTCTCCGCTGACATCCATTATAACTAGTCATCAGTCGGCACACAGACTTTAGCGCCACACTGACAAAATCCTCCTGTGAATGTGGAGCAGGGTCTAAGCAGGACACGGAGGAGGCTGTTTGACATATCTGCTGTGTATATGTCGGGAAGCTAACCATGCATTGGGAATGGAAGAGTTAAAACTGGGGTACAAAACTTAATTTTCTTCATAAATCAATACAAAATTGTGTGTGAACAAATCAGACTACAACATACGGTCTTCCTCTTATTAGAAAACAGGTCATGTATTGCATACTAGTAAGAAAGAGAAAGCTGTTTCACCAATCTGCTGGAAGTCACTATTTGACACTTTGAGCTGATGGGCTGAGTAAGGGTAGTATTCGCTCTTTTTCATTTTTTTTTCTAAAAAAAAGAGGCCAATAAAAGTTTTGCTCTGGAAAACTGAAACTTTAATCACACCTTATTGTTGTAACGCTAATTTATTCGAGATTTGCTTCTTTGCAATAGTGATTCTGAACATAAATGATACAGAGTCAGGTAAAGCCGTGTGCAGTTCAAAGTCAAAGAATGGCCTTTGTTCATCCTTCTCGACACACTTCAGTAATGTTTGACCTAAATCAGATCCTGCAAAGCTCTTCTGACAGTGGAGCTAATGCTAACACAATATGCATGACTACAGAGTGAAGTCATGTCTGAGGACCTACGCGACGAGTCCTCAACTCCTGGACTCAAAACAACAAATTCACACACGCTAATCCACGCTCCACATCCTTCTATTTTTACAGCCATCAAATCCAGATGTTATTCATAAATTTAGCAACCACAAGGTCAAAGGTTCCTTTTATTCAATTTCATACATGGTGTACTGTGTCCACTTAAATGAATTATTCGCACAGTAGTAATGCCAAACACTCCCTCTCTATGCTTCCCTATTATGGAGGTCTGTGGTTCTGACATAGATCATAACTGAGAAAATATTTGCCAATGTTATTGAGCACTAAAATCATATTTTTGTTGATTGTAATAAGATGTAATAAAAGTATGAAAAAAGTCAAAAGATCCAACTTAATAATCAGGATCATTTTATATAGAAATAGTAATTAGGGATGTAAATCGATGACCGTTTAACCGGTGGTTGACCGTCACAGCGTTAACCGGTCAAAGCTGTCTGTTAAAAGAAAGACAAAGGGGAGAGGGTCTCTTAACTCATTGACTGCCAGCCCATTTCAGAACAGTTACTTCCATATTGCCAGCCGTTTCTGATGGTTTTTTACTGATTTTTAAAGACCCACAGAATATTGTGTACTATGACTATCTGAAATCCAGATTCTAAAAGAATGGACTGTCTACTTTCATCAGCAAAAATAATTTTGTTTCTAGCTTGTTTCGTTCCCCTGTAATCCTCCGTTGAGTAGAGGGAAGTTTTACTGAAATCACCAGAAAGTTGAGAAAAAAGAGGCACAACATGTGCACCTAACTGTTTTCAAACCATTCAGAGAGCAATGCTGCCACCTGCTGGCTAGATAAAATATGGTCTCAAGCCATCCCCATACATATTAGATACAATAGACATCTGGGAACGTGAAAATAGCGGGAAAGGCCATTTACGTATTAATGCGTCAATGGCACACAACGTTACTATTTACTTTGACGTATTTGTGGCAATGGCACACAATGAGTTAATAACGCTATTTTTAACCCTATTTGCACGGTGTGACGAGCGGGTCCGTCGCTAGCTGTGTGCGCCAATGTATTAGTAAACTCCGAGCCGACTTTCATGCCGCACGCGCCACATATGCACGCACACATGCACACGCACGCACACACACAGACACAAACACACCTTTCCCCCCTCCATTGATACGTAACATCCGAAGTTCATCTCTCCCCTCTGTTACTGCCAAAGTTGCATACTGGTGCGGGTCAGAACTACATTGGAGCTAACATTTACACACACACATACACACATACACGTACACACATACATGTACACGCATACATGTACACGCATACCGGTCTGTCGCGCTCCTCTGTCTCACGGAGCCCAAAGGATCCTCGCAAATACGCGGCTTCAGTCAAACACATGGAACATGTTTGTGCTGCTGGTCCTTGTATCAGCTCAACACACATCACTTGTATTTAAAATTTAGCGGAGACCTGAAAGACGCGGCTCGTCACTCGCTGCTCTGAGCATGCGAACGAGCCGTCGTTTGCTCCTAAAAAGTTTTAACCCGCAGCACAGAAGAATGGGAAGATTTAAAAAAGCAGTTCTCTGTGCGCAAAGGTGCTGAAACTGTTGCGGGTTTTGGCACTGCTGTCTCGGCTCTGATCCTGTAGAACGCATAGCTGCACTTATGAAAAGTATGCGGCTTGAAATGGCTGTTATTTCCAAGAACGTGGAATATTTTAAACTACGCGGTTAACCGGTTTCAAACGGTTAATGAAGCTCGGTGGTCGGTCATGAAAATTCATAGTTTTTTACATCCCTAATAGTAATCATAATATAATTTTGCCAATATATTTCCCACCTCGATCGCAAAGCCTGTGCAATGACATGACCAACTCAAACACAGAGGCCGTGCGCACTAACCTGGTCCTTGTCCCCAGCGAAGCAGCAGCTCTTCATGGTGCAGGAGTTGAAGTATCCCTGGTTGTCGAACTGGAAGCTGGGCAGTCGTGAGTGGAGCTCGTAGAGGACGGGGGGCAGGCGGCGCCTCAGGGCCAGCAACTGTGTCCCAGTGCTGTTGAAGCGGACACTCATCGCACTCTGTAGAGACATACTGCCTCCGTAACGCAGGAGGGAACTGTGGACAGTAGCAACAATACATCAGTTAACTGTGGCTCACTGACTAATCGGTTCTGACTGATCCAAAAAAAATTATAGGTTATAGGGAGAGATTTTAAGTCTCAGGTCCATTGTCAAGTGGTGGCAATAGTAGTAGCAGCGAGAAGATGATGGACTATTGTACAGTATTGACTTTGACTAAACAAAATTAATGAGCGATAAATAGAGACAACAAAAGAATCTATGGGAAATGTTGCAGTCGTACAAGTGTTACAAATGTAATAATTATTGCCTTAATGATCTGATATTATTGTACTAATAATATTACAAATAATCATGATGTACACTGGCTTGAATTGGTGTTCAGGTTTCACAGCTTACAAACAGTATACAGCTCCATTTGTACAGGTTTTTACAATTTACAGTTTCAATAATGCAAAATTACTTCTGCCAGTGTGTAAAGTAAGTCAATATTAATATTTAGAGAAAGTAAACGTAGTTATGGTGATTTAGAGCCCAAACTCATCCGCTCAGAAAGTTTCTGCACAAACAGAAGAGACTAGGGAGTGATTGCTTTTATTGAAAAAGTTGCATTATGTTTTTGCAGATAAACTCCAGGAAACAGGCTCACAACAGAGTATTTAGAGCCATTATATCTGTAATAACATTTGAATTGGTGGTTTTTGTGGGGCTGGACCAGGACCAGGAGTCACAGGAAGACCGGACCCATTCGACAATCCAAGAGCGCCATCTGGTGGTGTGACGCTCAAAAGTGACGTGAAGGTTGTGGGTTTAAATATTTATATTAACTACATTTAGGAATGGATAATTAATTAAAACATAATATCTCAGCCTGACCTAAAGTTAGGTCTGGGAATATCAGGCTTCATTACAAATCAATACTATACACAGCTTACAGTGAGATAACAGAACAGGGTCTACATGCATTGACAAGTATGCATCCCTAACCTGCATTTGGATGATAAAAATGGCCAATATGCTGAATATATATATATATATATACACACACACACACACACACACACACACACACATAAATAGTGTAAATAGAGCAGTTAATGAATAGATTCCTAAAATCAATTTGGGATTTTATTCTATATTAGATTACAGTTGTTAGATTAGTAGATTATTCAAAACACTCAATTAGTTATCAATGTTTCCATATTATTACAAATTAATAAGAAAGACGGGAAGTGCTGCTTCATTTAAATATTACCTGCGAGGCTTGCGGATGTCCCACAGACCTATTCCCTCCTTTGAGTTTGCTGTAGCCAGAAGTCGGGGCTCGACCGGGTTAAACATGACGCTGTGGAATGCTGAGGGGTAGCTGGCCAGGCAAAAGGGCTCTAAAGAACATGATCAAATAACAAGGAAAAAATACTTTAAAAAAGGCACCCTAGGTAAACAGTTTGAGTGCAGTGACATACAATATTAAAACATGTCAGCTAATGTGAAAAACAATTTGCTAAAAGGTATAATTAGGTCGTCATGGACCAGGTCACATGAATGATTCAGAAATAGAAGGATATAAATGTTGTGCAAGATGAAGCATGACCAATGCATTCAACCCACATTCACAGAGTGTTACAAATACAAAAGACTGCTCCAATAATTGAACTAGAAACCGTTGCAATGGCTGAAGCCATTGCGATTGACTGCGGAACAGATCTAATGTGGAATTTAGCTGAAAAATCCTTGAAATCCTTGAAACTGTTAAAATACTTTAAACATCTTTGAAACTCCTGAAGTATTTGAAGCTCCTGATATCCTTTAAACTGTTATCCTTTATACTGGTTTTCATGTAAAAACCCCTATTAAGTTCCATTATACTGGTTTACATGTAAAAACCCCTATTAAGTTGCATTATACTGGTTTACATGTAAAAAACCCTATTAAGTTGCATTATACTGGTTTACATGGAAAAATCCCTATTAAGTTGCATTATACTGGTTTACATGTAAAAAACCCTATTAAGTTGCATTATACTGGTTTACATGGAAAAATCCCTATTAAGTTGCATTATACTGGTTTACATGTAAAAATCCCTATTAAGTTGCATTATACTGGTTTACATGTAAAAACCCCTATTAAGTTCCATTATACTGGTTTACATGTAAAAACCCCTATTAAGTTGCATAATACTGGTTTACATGGAAAAATCCCCATTAAGTTGCATTATACTGGTTTACATGGAAAAATCCCTATTAAGTTGCATTATACTGGTTTACATGGAAAAATCCCTATTAAGTTGCATAATACTGGTTTACATGGAAAAATCCCCATTAAGTTGCATTATACTGGTTTACATGGAAAAATCCCCATTAAGTTGGCATTATACTGGTTTACATGGAAAAATCCCTATTAAGTTGCATTGTACTGGTTTACATGGAAAAAACCCTATTAAGTTGCATTATACTGGTTTACATGGAAAAAACCCTATTAAGTTGCATTATACTGGTTTACATGTAAAAACCCCTATTAAGTTGCATTATACTGGTTTACATGGAAAAAACCCCTATTAAGTTGCATTATACTGGTTTACATGAAAAAACCCTATTAAGTTGCATTATACTGGTTTACATGGAAAAATCCCTATTAGGTTGCATGATTACACTGAAGTCCTTGAAACTGCTGAAGTCCTTGAAACTGCTGAAGTCCTTGAAACTGCTGAAGTCCTTGAAACTGTTGAAGTCCTTGAAACTCTTGAAATCTTGAAACTGCTGAAATCCTTGAAACTGTTGAATCCTTGAAACTGTTGAATCATTGAAACTGTAGAAATGTCTGAAAGAGCTGAAGTCCTATTAAAAAAATGCATGGGCCTATTAAAATGCATTGCAGAATTCTCAATGCAGATTTTTGTCCGATTGCGGAAAAACCGGAAATCGCTGAAGTCCCAAAAGTAATAGCAATAATCTCCCAAACATGTGGAACGTTTTGATGTATAACTTGTGGAAATTGTTGAAAATGTGAAAGCTGTGAAACGTGTCAAAAAAAATGACGGAATAAAGAAATACAAAACCAATGGTTGACTGCGGAAGGTTCCGCAGTCAATCAAATAATGTGCACATCATAAGTTTTTAGTCAGGGGCCTCTTCCCCGCATGTTAATACTTTGTTTGGAATCTTTCAGTGGGACATAATACAATAATAAATCATGTTCATACTGATCACTAGAAACCGTTGCAATGGCTGAAGCCATTGCGATTGACTGCGGAACAGATCTAATGTGGAATTTAGCTGAAAAATCCTTGAAATCCTTGAAACTGTTAAAATACTTTAAACATCTTTGAAACTCCTGAAGTATTTGAAGCTCCTGATATCCTTTAAACTGTTATCCTTTATACTGGTTTTCATGTAAAAAACCCCTATTAAGTTCCATTATACTGGTTTACATGTAAAAACCCCTATTAAGTTGCATTATACTGGTTTACATGTAAAAAAACCCTATTAAGTTGCATTATACTGGTTTACATGGAAAAATCCCTATTAAGTTGCATTATACTGGTTTACATGTAAAAAAAACCCTATTAAGTTGCATTATACTGGTTTACATGGAAAAAAATCCCTATTAAGTTGCATTATACTGGTTTACATGTAAAAATCCCTATTAAGTTGCATTATACTGGTTTACATGTAAAAACCCCTATTAAGTTCCATTATACTGGTTTACATGTAAAAACCCCTATTAAGTTGCATAATACTGGTTTACATGGAAGAATCCCCATTAAGTTGCATTATACTGGTTTACATGGAAAAATCCCTATTAAGTTGCATTATACTGGTTTACATGGAAAAATCCCTATTAAGTTGCATAATACTGGTTTACATGGAAAAATCCCCATTAAGTTGCATTATACTGGTTTACATGGAAAAATCCCCATTAAGTTGCATTATACTGGTTTACATGGAAAAATCCCTATTAAGTTGCATTGTACTGGTTTACATGGAAAAAACCCTATTAAGTTGCATTATACTGGTTTACATGGAAAAAACCCTATTAAGTTGCATTATACTGGTTTACATGTAAAAACCCCTATTAAGTTGCATTATACTGGTTTACATGGAAAAAACCCCTATTAAGTTGCATTATACTGGTTTACATGAAAAAACCCTATTAAGTTGCATTATACTGGTTTACATGGAAAAATCCCTATTAAGTTGCATTATACTGGTTTACATGGAAAAATCCCTATTAGGTTGCATGATTACACTGAAGTCCTTGAAACTGCTGAAGTCCTTGAAACTGCTGAAGTCCTTGAAACTGCTGAAGTCCTTGAAACTGTTGAAGTCCTTGAAACTCTTGAAATCTTGAAACTGCTGAAATCCTTGAAACTGTTGAATCCTTGAAACTGTTGAATCATTGAAACTGTAGAAATGTCTGAAAGAGCTGAAGTCCTATTAAAATGCATGGGCCTATTAAAATGCATTGCAGAATTCTCAATGCAGATTTTTGTCCGATTGCGGAAAAACCGGAAATCGCTGAAGTCCCAAAAGTAATAGCAATAATCTCCCAAACATGTGGAACGTTTTGATGTATAACTTGTGGAAATTGTTGAAAATGTGAAAGCTGTGAAACGTGTCAAAAAAAATGACGGAATAAAGAAATACAAAACCAATGGTTGACTGCGGAAGGTTCCGCAGTCAATCAATAATAATAACTAGAAACTTGCAATGGCTGAAGCCATTGCGATTGACTGCGGAACAGATCTAATGTGGAAATCTGCTAAAAAAAATCCTTGAAATCCTTTAAAAAGCCTTGAAACTGTTAAAATACTTGATAGATATTTGAAACTCCTGAAGTCCTTGAAATTGTTGAAACCTTTAAACTCCTGAAATCCTTGAAACTGTTGAAACATTGAAACTCCTGAAATCCTTGAAACTTTTTTAAACCTGGAAACTGTTGAAAGTGTGGAAACTCCTGAAATCCTTGAACCTCCTGATATCCTTGAAACTGGTTAAATTCTTAAACAGCTGAAATCCTTGAAACTACTGAATGTATTGAAAGTGTCCTTGAAACTGAAAAATCCCCTCACCGCTGAAACAATTTGGTTCCTGTAACTAAGGAAACCTGGTCTGTGGTCATTATCTGGTGGTGGTCTGAGTCTTCGTTTGGGTCTTGGTCTGGTGGTATAATGCAACCTATTAGGTTGCATTATACATGAAAAAACCCTATTAAGTTGCATTATACTGGTTTACATGAAAAAAACCCTATTAAGTTGCATTATACTGGTTAACATGAAAAAAACCCTATTAAGTTGCATTATACTGGTTTACATGGAAAAATCCCTATTAAGTTGCATAATACTGGTTTACATGGAAAAATCCCCATTAAGTTGCATTATACTGGTTTACATGAAAAAAACCCTATTAAGTTGCATTATACTGGTTTACATGGAAAAACCCCTATTAAGTTGCATTATACTGGTTTACATGTAAAAACCCCTATTAGGTTACATTATAGTGGTTTACATGTAAAAATCCTTATTAAGTTGCATTATACTGGTTTACATGTAAAAACCCCTATTAAGTTCCATTATACTGGTTTACATGTAAAAACCCTATTAAGTTCCATTATACTGGTTTACATGTAAAAACCCTATTAAGTTGCATTATACTGGTTTACATGAAAAAAACCCTATTAAGTTGCATTATACTGGTTTACATGGAAAAATCCCTATTAAGTTGCATATACTGGTTTACATGGAAAAATCCCTATTAAGTTGCATTATACTGGTTTACATGGAAAAATCCCTATTAAGTTGCATTATACTGGTTTACATGGAAAAATCCCTATTAAGTTGCATAATACTGGTTTACATGGAAAAATCCCCATTAAGTTGCATTATACTGGTTTACATGGAAAAATCCCATTAAGTTGCATTATACTGGTTTACATGGAAAAATCCCTATTAAGTTGCATTGTACTGGTTTACATGGAAAAAAACCCTATTTATATATGAACCAGCCCGGACTCTGAGGAGCACAGGGACTGGACTCCTGTTAGTGCCCAGAGTCAGAACTAAACATGGGGAGGCTGCTTTTCAGATTCATGCTGCTAAAATCTGGAACAGTCTTCCTGGAGATGTGAGACAGGCCTCCTCTCTGACAATGTTTAAAGCCAGGTTAAAGACAGTTCTGTTTAGCTGTGCATACAACTGAGGGATTTTATATTTGTATCTTTCTTTTTAATGTTCTGTGATTATTTATGATTTTAATGCTTTCTTGTTTTGTTCAGCACTTTGAATTGCCTTGTGTATGAATTGTGCTATATAAATAAACTTGCCTTGCCTTGCCTTGCCTTGCCATTAAGTTGCATTATACTGGTTTACATGGAAAAAACCCTATTAAGTTGCATTATACTGGTTTACATGTAAAAACCCCTATTAAGTTGCATTATACTGGTTTACATGGAAAAATCCCCATTAAGTTGCATTATACTGGTTTACATGAAAAAAAACCCTATTAAGTTGCATTATACTGGTTTACATGAAAAAACCCTATTAAGTTGCATTATACTGGTTTACATGGAAAAATCCCTATTAAGTTGCATTATACTGGTTTACATGGAAAAATCCCTATTAGGTTGCATAATTACACTGAAGTCCTTGAAACTGCTGAAGTCCTTGAAACTGCTGAAGTCCTTGAAACTGCTGAAGTCCTTGAAACTGTTGAAGTCCTTGAAACTCTTGAAATCTTGAAACTGCTGAAATCCTTGAAACTGTTGAATCCTTGAAACTGTTGAATCATTGAAACTGTAGAAATGTCTGAAAGAGCTGAAGTCCTATTAAAATGCATGGGCCTATTAAAATGCATTGCAGAATTCTCAATGCAGATTTTTGTCCGATTGCGGAAAAACCGGAAATCGCTGAAGTCCCAAAAGTAATAGCAATAATCTCCCAAACATGTGGAACGTTTTGATGTATAACTTGTGGAAATTGTTGAAAATGTGAAAGCTGTGAAACGTGTCAAAAAAAATGACGGAATAAAGAAATACAAAACCAATGGTTGACTGCGGAAGGTTCCGCAGTCAATCAACTAGAAACCGTTGCAATGGCTGAAGCCATTGCGATTGACTGCGGAACAGATCTAATGTGGAATTTAGCTGAAAAATCCTTGAAATCCTTGAAACTGTTAAAATACTTTAAACATCTTTGAAACTCCTGAAGTATTTGAAGCTCCTGATATCCTTTAAACTGTTATCCTTTATACTGGTTTTCATGTAAAAACCCCTATTAAGTTCCATTATACTGGTTTACATGTAAAAACCCCTATTAAGTTGCATTATACTGGTTTACATGTAAAAAAACCCTATTAAGTTGCATTATACTGGTTTACATGGAAAAATCCCTATTAAGTTGCATTATACTGGTTTACATGTAAAAAACCCTATTAAGTTGCATTATACTGGTTTACATGGAAAAATCCCTATTAAGTTGCATTATACTGGTTTACATGTAAAAATCCCTATTAAGTTGCATTATACTGGTTTACATGTAAAAACCCCTATTAAGTTCCATTATACTGGTTTACATGTAAAAACCCCTATTAAGTTGCATAATACTGGTTTACATGGAAAAATCCCCATTAAGTTGCATTATACTGGTTTACATGGAAAAATCCCTATTAAGTTGCATTATACTGGTTTACATGGAAAAATCCCTATTAAGTTGCATAATACTGGTTTACATGGAAAAATCCCCATTAAGTTGCATTATACTGGTTTACATGGAAAAATCCCCATTAAGTTGCATTATACTGGTTTACATGGAAAAATCCCTATTAAGTTGCATTGTACTGGTTTACATGGAAAAAACCCTATTAAGTTGCATTATACTGGTTTACATGGAAAAAACCCTATTAAGTTGCATTATACTGGTTTACATGTAAAAACCCCTATTAAGTTGCATTATACTGGTTTACATGGGAAAAAACCCCTATTAAGTTGCATTATACTGGTTTACATGAAAAAACCCTATTAAGTTGCATTATACTGGTTTACATGGAAAAATCCCTATTAAGTTGCATTATACTGGTTTACATGGAAAAATCCCTATTAGGTTGCATGATTACACTGAAGTCCTTGAAACTGCTGAAGTCCTTGAAACTGCTGAAGTCCTTGAAACTGTTGAAGTCCTTGAAACTCTTGAAATCTTGAAACTGCTGAAATCCTTGAAACTGTTGAATCCTTGAAACTGTTGAATCCTTGAAACTGTTGAATCATTGAAACTGTAGAAATGTCTGAAAGAGCTGAAGTCCTATTAAAATGCATGGGCCTATTAAAATGCATTGCAGAATTCTCAATGCAGATTTTTGTCCGATTGCGGAAAAACCGGAAATCGCTGAAGTCCCAAAAGTAATAGCAATAATCTCCCAAACATGTGGAACGTTTTGATGTATAACTTGTGGAAATTGTTGAAAATGTGAAAGCTGTGAAACGTGTCAAAAAAAATGACGGAATAAAGAAATACAAAACCAATGGTTGACTGCGGAAGGTTCCGCAGTCAATCAATTACAGATCCATATCTGGAGAGGCAACTCCAGTCACAATCGAGCAATAACATATCTGAAATGTAATAAATGCAAAAACTATATAATTAATGTTATATTTCAGACAATTCCAGAAAATTGTGAAAATGACCATAGCACCTGACAAGTCTAATATAAAGAATTCCCTTTACATTTATTTTCTGATTGTTGTTACTGTCTTTCTCCGGTTCTAAAACATAAGCTCTATTTAAGAAATACTCCTCCCTTTGACATACCTCCGTGTGGTGGCTCGCGAGTGTCCCAGATCAGAACGCGGCCGTCGTCAGAGGAACTGGCAAAAACATTGTCATTGACCGGACTCACAGAGAGACTGTAAACGGCATCAATGTGGAGGAACACGTTCAGAGTCTCCCTTCTACAAAAGAGAAAGTTTGTCACTGAATATTTATTTCATCATTTGCACTGAAGCATCATGGAAAGTGTATAATAATGTATTATTATATCTAAATACCAAATCGAGTATAATAGTAATTCTTTATTTTACCTTTCTACATCATGAAGAATCACTTGTTCATCATTTCCTATAAAATAAAGTAAGATTTAAACTATTGTAAAATGGACACGCGTATTGTGTCTTAAATGTAGTCTTCTTACCTCCAGAGAATACCCTCTTGTTGGTGCTGTCAAAGGCCAAGCAGAAGATGTTGGACAGGTGCTCCCCCTTCAGTTTCACAGGTTTGGATCGAGAGTGAATGGCTTTCTCCATGTGCCACAAAAGCACTCGCCGGTCATCCCCTCCTAAGGATCAGGACAGATTAAATATCAAGCACAATTTTTAGCTGATACTTATTAATAAACTCAGCAACAACTCAGTCTTCTGCTATTATATCAAACAACAACAACAATATTGAGTGTAATTCTAACTAAGCCATAAGAGTCAAGCAGCTTGAGGCAGTAATCTTTACTACACTGTTATGACAGATTTGGGAACACATTACTGAGGATTGCCATTGTCTGGGAAAATATCGTAATGTAATGAAATCAAAATGGGGGAAAGTAAACATTGCCTGTATAGTTACTTTTGGTTTATCATGTGGTTTAATCATGTGCGTGATTGCAGAAGCGAACTAACACAGCGTTGTAAAATGACCATAGTGTTCTCTGAGTGACATATCATGGCCCACGGAGTGTTTGTGTTGGGTTTAGCTTATCGAGCTATTAGCCCGCACGGCTAAGCTACTTAGCATGTGCTAGTATTGATAGGTTTCAGCTGATTGCCACCTAGCCACAGTTAGCATGCTAACAAACTAGTGCAAAGGGGATTTGTGAACTTACCCGACACCAGCCATTCTCCTCCGTTGTTGGAAAACTCAATGGCGTTGACACAGCCGAAGTGCCCCAGCATATCCCTCTTGTAGAGGCTGGTGCAGCCCGCCAGCCGGAGCCGCTGGAATTCCTCCTTCATGAGCGGCTGTCCGCTGAGCTCTCTGCGGGACAGAAAGCCCACAGAGGAGCGCATGCCACAGCCCTTCAGCTCCTTCATTTTCCACATGAGGCACACGCACAGGCCCTGTAGGCTTTGTCTTCACGCACTCATCTGCTCCTGTGGCGGTGTGGCGGGGGGCTGAGGGTCTCTACATCTCACGGTCCTGAAAGCTCCATGCTCCTGGATCTCCGCTGTCCCCGTGTGTTTGCACTGTGCTTCCTGCTCAGGACCTCTCCTCCCCCTGCTGTCACTCAGCATCCACTCAACATCACTGAGCCTCTATTAAACCAATGCACATTACATAAGGCTGAGCCCAGGCTGAAAAGCCCCTGAGTGCCACACTTAAATCAGGATACTTTTCATTTCATAAAGGAAATAGTTTGGGTCACTACATTTATACATTTGCAGACAGGAATTGTGGTTAATTGGTAAAAAATATAACAATTGTATCCACATAAAACAAAACCATAAGAAGAGTGGCCCATCAAACATAAAAAAAAAATCTCAACATATTGAAGACACTTTATTAAACTATTAAACTACCGCTCAAGGAACAGCCAAGCACCATTGAGAGTGGCCATGAAATGATTCCAATTTTATTAGTATTCCCCTCCCTATCTTTACTGGCAAAGCTTTTTGAGCTGGTGGTATAGTCAAACACTTACAGTCTATGTATAACACGTGCATGTTTTCTGTAATAGATTGTTAAAGCCACAATTAGTAACTTGCGACATGGACATGAAGTTTATTTCCATATGGGCAGACAGGGACAAGACTTCCACTGTCACATAACCCTTGTGTCCCACACTCGAACACTCAGTCTTCTGCTCACAATTTAAGACCATTTCCACTTAGATCAAAACAAACAAATAGTGTGTATAGTCATTTTATTATTCCCAGTTTATTGGGATTACAGTGGTAGTCTGTGGGGAACACACCTTGATCTTGAGACCTTGAGACACTGAAAATCAAAACATTTGATATACCTTCTATATAGGGAGAGATGGCATACAATTGCAAGCCATAATATTAATCATAACATTTTTAAACCTCAACATGAAAGCTTTAAAATGTTCATTATGCAACTTTTTAAGTGGTGACTTTATTTTTCATCACAGTTGTGTCTACAGTGCTCCAGGAGCACAGTGATGGAAAGGTGGCATACTGACCACTCATAAAGCCACAGGGAATAAACACAATATTGTGTTGTACAATAAATGTGTATTTTTCTTTATCAGACCACAATCAGTACAGTTTTATTGATAAATTGATTTGTCATACTTTTAAGCAATTTAGGCACTTATTAAGTAATGGGCAAAGAAGTGACGCTGCTGTTTCAAGACAATCATAAGCAAAATACTGAGAATACAAGAGGTTTTACACATACTGTATACAACTCAATATCGAGATAATATCCGTAGACAACACATCCACAACCTAAACTAAGCGTATCAAAAGTCCAAGTAGACCATGTACGGACTATAAAGCACAGAGATATTGGAAATGTGCATGTGCTGTTTATGGACAGGTTCTTACAAGTTTCACTTGAAATGTATCTAAAACAGTACAGTACATTATCTATTTATTTTGGTTAAAACAGGTCAAATCATAACTTTTTTAATGTTAAACCTTGAGGTAATAATAAAACTAGAACAAAAAAGTAAAAAGGCAGGGTTACTTCAGAACTAAACACTCTAAGGGCACGTTCACACTAGTCCTCATGAAGTCACACATCTGTTTCACAGAAGAAAACTGACTTGGGTGACGAGGGGATCTGTGTACAAATTAATGATGCTTTCACATCCGCACAAATTAAGGTTAATTTGTCTCAAGCAAATCCAGAATTAGTTCAAAGTGAACCAGAGTTCACTTAAATCTGTGTGAACGTTCTGTTTGTGATACCAGAACCCATGTTTGGGTCTAGTCTTCTGTCTATTAACAAAATAAAATAAAAACATTTATACAAAGTGCTTTACAATTCATTTCCTTCAATACATTCAGCAGTACTGCATGACCGTGCCCTTAATAATAGTCTGCAAACATAACTGGAGTGTTAGAGATGGGACATCATACATTCCGAACCAATCTAAAAAGTTGAGAGGGCCACATGAGAATAAACCAACTAAACCCCGTCTTGTTGCATTCAAAGTGCTGAGAGCGATGGCTCAGATAGGAAGCCTTGCTTCCGTCAAAATGGAGTGGATGAATAGCGCCAAGCGCCTTTGAGTGTCCAAATAAGCGCTATCTAAAACTGATGCATTATTATTATCATTAATCAAGCAGGTCCATTCTCTCCCGCTTTTAATCTTTCTCAGAAAGAAAATTAGTACTATGATTATATGTGACAAATATAGTTTGTGAGGACTTCAATAACACTCAATGTTGAATTAGGATTGCTGAGCGCGGTCCCAACATGGCAACAAGGTTTGTTCTGTTAAAGTAAAGGGATCTACATGTTAAATAAAAAACAAATCCATATATAGTTAACTTCACATCTGAAAAAAGCACAAGATCAATGAAAAAAAGTGATCCAGAATTAAGGCTCTTTTATGCTTGTACATTCTGACATTACTTATACTGCATACTCTGTGGCTCAACCATCCGCAGAGCTGTGCTATCTGAGGTGAGAGTACAGTATTCAAATCTATAGTTTGAATTTTACATTATTTTATACAAAATGTTTTTACTCAAACAGTGATAGAAGAGTTTTATGTTGTTGCTTGTTTCACTCCAGCATTGAAATTCAATACGCTAATGTAAACTTTTGCAGAGAGAATGGAGAGTGTTCTCGTAAAGATTGGGACACAGATCTGCATACATTTCTAGTAAGTAATAAAGTAAGTCATGTTTATTATGTAGAACTTTTCACAGTTCTGTGCGAACACTGAATAGGAAGCATGAATGAGCCTTAAAACAGTGAATCAAACGAGGAGTAGATTCATTTTCAAGGCTCTGTTTGTGTGAGATTTTTGTGCTGACCAAACTTCCTCCAACTAACACCTGTTCGATACAGCAGCAAGATGAAATCCAAGTGCCCATTTTGTTTATAGGTTTACTCTGTATACAATGTAGCCTATATACATATAAAACATCACAAAGCTTCTTTCAAAAAGCAATATGATAGTATAGTCACAAGAACCCTTGCCTTGTGACTTTTTCTTTTACATACAGTAAATACAACATGAAAATACAAGTAAAATATTAAATAATGTGACAAATGCATGAAGCAGGAGTTTAAATTAAGACAGGGCAGGTTAGGGAGGCGTTGGCACAGGGATGAAAGGTTGTGTCCATAGGGGGCGCCGAAATCTCGCACTCCTGGTGCTAATATGGGCCCTTGGAGTGTCCAAAGATTCCGATGGGAAAGTGCTTGACATGAGATGACCACTGCGCCGCCAGCTGGAAAAACTTCACATCGTTCCACTCCACACCGTCGATCAGCACTAAGGGAAAAAAAAGAGTAAATATTGTGAAGCAAGAAAATATGAGCCGTTTTTGTGTATAATTGAAATACCTCGGAGCATGGTTTGCTGCTGTTTGGCAGTGCAGATGAGGCGACTGATTCCCTCGATGACCTGACTCTTAGGTTCCATCTCTTTGTCTTTGCTCTTTTTTGGCAGAAACATCACTAAATAATAACAAATGTCAACGTCAAAATACAGATACATTAAAGCAATATCTCTATTTGTCTGCATAACAACACAAATTGCAATATATGACGTCACCCAAAGTGTTTGCTTCAAAGCAGAAAGGGCCAATTAGAGCTAGCTCGAACCAAACTGATACAAATGTTGTGAGTAGCAAGTAACAACCAAGCAACAAAGAGCCAATCAGGAGCTGCAGCAGTATTGCCCAGCTCGCGCTACTTGCTAGATCAAACCAAATTTGGGAACAGAAGGAACCTAATTGGTCAATGGTTACGGTTTGTCACTGGATTTACAAAGACATAACACCCAAATAAAAAACAGGATCACAACGCTAAACCCTGTGACAAAGACTGTTAAACAATCTACACATCTTTGAACTTACCCTTTTTGTTCTTCTCCTTGGTGACCACTGTCATAGACATAGTGGGAAAAGGACTGGCTTCAGTGCCCCCAAGTGGGAGCCTGCTGACCTGCAGCGATCGGAAATTGCACTTGAGAGTGTTTTTGGATGAAGAGTCCCGCTTCTCCACGTCTTTCTTTCGTTCCGATGGAGCCACCCAGTAATCCACCTGCAGTCCCATCACCTCTGTCTGGCCCACACTACTGGTGAGGACAGAGAGAAAAATGTATTGTAGAAGGCATTGTACTCAAAATTACATTAGTTCATTTGTTTATACATTACATTATAGTTGTTATGTTGCATTTACAGTATTATACCTTAAGGCAAACAGAGCACTTCACAAGGAATCATTCAGTCACACACACACACAAGATGGTGAATTATTGTCACAAAATTGCACGCTTGTAAAAATATAGTGATAATATTTCTATTCATGTATAATAAATGTGTTTGTTGTAATTGATGGTTTTAACAAGTAAGTTAAGAAAATATTACAATTTTTAAAAGTCTATAAGATGTTTTGTGGCTCGTGACTCTTTAACAGTAGAGGAAGGAAAAAAGGCTTATATGATAAATGTGTTCTAGAAGAAAGAAAGGAACTTCATAAAAATGCAGACAGTGAGCTCCTCAAAAGTGGTACTGCACTCTCTCTGACTCAGGTTGCCAGATATGCAGACGAATCGAGCTAGGACCATAATAACTGAATAGACAATAGTTGACAAATCTACATCCAACACCTTTCTCACAATGGCAGCCTGTTTCAGAACAGGTACTCCCATATTGCCTGCTGTTTCTGATGGTTTTTTACTGAGTATTCAAGACCCACAGAATATTGTGAACTATGAGTATCTGAAATCCGAAAGAATGGACTTTCTACTTCCATCAGCAAAAATAATTTTGTTTGCTTAAAATATGCTCTATATTAGATAGAATAGACATCATATTAGAGAGACTAGACATCTGGGAACATGAAAATAGCGGAAAACGCAATTGACGTGTTAACACTTCAATGGCAGACAAATGTACTATTTGGTTTGACGTGTTTCACGCAGTCAATGAGTTAATTATGACTTCACATGAAAATCTTACATATTTCTATTTTAAATGGAGCAAATTACCTGTAGGCGCAGAAGCTGGTGTGCACTGATGGGGAGGAGGGTGGAGTGGGCGTGGCCTCTTTGAGCGCTGGGGAAACCTGAGGAGGGGTGGAAGAGAGCAGCGACGAGGGCGTGGCATCGTCAGAGTCACCTGAGACAAACGAGAGAATAAACTCATTTTGAGGTCTCTACCCTCATCGTCTCCATTGTAAATATAAACCAAATACTATTAGATACAGGTTCAAGTCTGTGATGTGTGGAAAAGTGAAATGATGAAATCAGCCTGCATATAAGGCAAATTGTGGTTGTAAAAAATATATTTAAGAATTACTATAAACTTTAGATTTACCTGAGGCTGCTGATACTTGCTCAACAATGCCGACTTTCACCATCTGAAGAAATAAAATGGAAATTACGACTTTGAGGTTTTTGTTTTTACAATGTTCAAGGTAAATTCAATTTGATTTCAATCTCAAACAAAATACAGACAACATATGCTTAAACGTATCATACATTCTTCTTATATTATGGTATGCAAAAATGACAGACATATACATATTTGTTTCATATAAGGACAAATGTAAGATTTACCCCAATAAATGGAATGAATTTCTGACAGGAATCTTCATCAGGGCTAAAGCAGCAGGGGAGCAGAAAAGGACATGTATTAGTCAATTACAATATTAGGACATATAATCTAAGTTTTAAGCACTATGCATTAGATCTATACATTATCTATTGTGATACCTTTTAGATTAGATCATTTCCAGTTCGTCGCATTTCGTCAAATTCTGCAGCAGCGTGTTTAAGTTGATCACTAAAAATGCATGCTCTACTTTCTGCAAGTCTTCATCTTGTTTTTTGCAGCCGTAAACAAAGCCCACATGCAACTACTTCTACCAAAGCCATTCAGTTACAGCTTCATCAACAAAGTCAGGCATTCAACGGGCAGCAAAGAGAAAGTGAGGGCTCTAATTTGGCTGGATAGAAGAATAGAATAAAGAGGGAAGAGCACCAACCTAAACCAGACTTGAACTTTATGCACTACCACTAACAGCAGTGCATACTACGACAACATGAAGCTTTCTACGAACTATTTTCCTGTTTACGAGCAGAAAAATAGCCTCCAGTCTACAGCGTACGCAGATTGGTTGTTGCTCTTGCCTTGAGGTAACCTGCCATCGCCCCCCCAGGGAAGTCACAGACAGACTAAAACACCAGAGACAGAAGAGAGACAGTCTACAGTAGGGACAATCAAGGCACCATCTCATTTACGTCATTTTACTCATTCAAATAAACTTAAAAGAAGCCATGGTCCTATGTCTGCCCGTAAACAATCATGGAAAGTGTAGCATTACATCAGTCACTGGATTGATACAATATATTTTTAGACGACCTACTCTACAAATGAATGGAATGGGTGTAATGAATAGAGGTTTACATGTAAGTAATATGGGAGAACGATTATGATGCAAAATAAACACAGTACTCATTTTGGGGGAGCTATAGACACTGATAAAAGATCTTGAATGGAACGTTTAAGTGACACGGTTTCAGAAGTATAAATCCTATTCAAATTCCTCATGAGAACTGGTTGGCCGCCGTCATGCCTTCAAACTCTCACTGCTACTAAAAAGAATTGGAATTTTGCTTCTGGACCAAATACAGGAAATGCCATACTAGAGAGCATTCCAGACATCTACCTGGAGACGGACCGGACCTCTCCCCAGAAACATACATATAAACTCAGTGTCAATATGTAGGTAATATATATATAAACGCATCTATGTAATCTATTCAATGTGCAAGGAAACAAGTACAGTAACTCTTAAAGCAAAAACGGCTTATTGTAATTGACTCATGGTGTTTATTGGTGAGCTTTTTAAACAGACAGACATGGACAGCCTGAGGTAAACAAAAATAACAGACGTAAAGAGAAAAATTATAATGAATTAAAAAAAGGAAGGGAGGAAGGAAGGACACCAGATCCCCTGACACTTTATCAGCTGCTTCAGTTTTGTATCTATTCTTAATTATGTATTATTATTATTATTATTTCAGATTTCTTGACAAATGCAATCCTGTTTTGACATGCTTTCAAACAGTAACTCTTTAGTTATCGTCTATTCAAAGTTGACAATGCCTGTTTAAAAGCATTTTGTACATACTCTTTGGTCTAAACACAACGGGGTATTTTTATCAACAGTAATTTGTTTTATACGGCTAGTAAAGTGGCAGGGTTCACAAAATGCTGGAAAAAACAGGTGCAAATGGCTCTGCGTGAATCGACGTCAAAACTATCCACAATACCTTACTGCAAAATCAAAATGAAAGCTCTTTTTCCTTTAAAAGAAAATAAGAAAAATACAACAAAATAAGGACATGTTAGACTCACAGATGAAGAGGCAGAGATGGTTAACAGACAAATACAACATTAGACACAAAACGCCATCTTTTAACTGGTCCATAATGAAAGCAGTAATTCACATACAGATAAAATACTGAATGCCCTGACTAATATCTACAAATACAGACATTTGTTTATCCTTCACTATCATGTCATTATTTAACTTTAGTTTGAAACCACCTTGAAAGAATATTATTAGATTCCTTTTTTTTTTTTAACAAAGGCATATACCGTACCTTTTCTGTTTGTAGGTTAACATGGCCTCTGCAATGGGCAGCTGATGAGCCCCATTTGCCCCCACCATGTACTGGGTCACCCTCGACACCACGTCTGGACTCTCCTGGACTAAACAAAGCAAATAAAAAATTATTTGCTTTGACTAAGACTGTAAGACTGTTAGGTGTATACAATGCAATATCCAAAATCTACTGTTAAATATCAAGGTCAGATCTGGAAAAACTCACCGACTATAGGAGCTTCCGGTTTGTGAAACAGGTCTCTCCAGGCAGCATCTTGAAATAAACTGTTATATCTGTAGTCTATTGTACCGAGATATTTAGAAACTGGATGTGCGCCTGAAACATAGTAAAACAGCAATTCAATAAAGAACGTTTTAAACATTACACGAACATTCATTTATTTGATAGGGATACTAAATTAATCTTATGCTATTTTTTAAAATACAGTACGTAACATGCACTCTTGGTGGTCTACTAAAGTAATTACTATTACAATCCAACGTTTGTTCCAGAACCTCACTGCCTGCGACAGTTAATTAAGATTAACTTTAATTCAGAATATGTCAAGTATGTTGACCTATTATCTGGGGACACATGAAAGATGTAAATGTAGTTTAAGATGAGCATATTATACTGTCCCATTAAATAGCTTTTAATGTGAACTTCTGCTTTATATTGTTGTGTGTCATTTTTCTTAAAGCACTACACAGGTGTAATACCTGCACTGCAACGTTTTTTATTATTGGCACAAACAGTTGTTGTCTTGATGTTTGGATGGATGTATGTTGAATTGTGTTTACAGCTGAGGGCAGTGAGCCTGAGACATATGCACATCTGTGATTAGTGTAAATATGACTAGTAAAATACAGTTTCAATCTGTTGTTCAGCAAAGCTATCTCTATGGGCTCAGCTGTGACTGACCCCAGGGGATGATGAGGAAACGCATGTATCCGAGCCAGTCTGGGGTCTTGTGGGACAGATGATCCACGAAGAGCCGGAGGACGGAGCTGAGGTAATGCTGTGCTCCGGCCACAGCAATCTTTATGGGGATGGGGGTCTGCGAGTTACAGTTGCAACTACAACCAACAACAAAGTCAAAACATCAGTGCCATAGACTTCATAGAGCATTTATCACGTACAAAGAGCCTCAGTCATCTAATTGTTTTACTGTGCTATTCTGGTGAGAAATGCAAAGAAAAGATTGAATCGTACAATCGCTGTATTCTGGAGACGATGGTGTTGAACGCAGCTTGGATGTCGGCCGTGCTACACGTGCAGACGACAGGGAGATGGTGGTTCTGAAGCATGTCTGAAAGGTACTACAGAGGAGGAAGCACTGGTTTAGAGTCTTGATTTACAACAGAAAATGGTTCAGAGTGTTCCAGACTCACCTGCCCCTGCCAGTCTGACGTGTTGATGAGGATGATGCTGTCAGGGAGGTTACTGTCGGACACCAGGATGTGGTTCAGCTGATCATATACGGTCTTTCTTGGGATCTGAACAATGGTCAAAGAAAGATGGCTTTAAATTCATTCATTATTCATTTGTATCATTATATTTCCATTATTTTGTTTCACCCAACACATACAAAATACAGTATGTACAAGTTTCACTATGTGTCCCTGTATATACAATTTTCCAGCTTGAAATCAAGTGTATTTGGATACGAGTTCATTCATTAATTCATTCATTTTCTACCCCTTTATTAATCTATTTCTGGGTCGGGGGGGTCCTCCCACAGGTGATTACGAGTTGCTGTCCCATACTTTGTAAATTAATGTAGATTTATAATTTAATATATGCTTAGACTAAAGACAATATATTAGAATACTTTAAACTACACAATGTAGTTGTTATAGAGTTCTCAGTCCAACCTGCAGGTGGCAGCGAGTGTCCATGGCGCGCTCATTGTCCAGACTGTTGGCTCTCTCATTCTGGGGTCTGCTGGGCTGCCTCTCCTTTAGTGACGTGCTCCTGCCCCTTCGACCAGCAAACTTTGGTTCCTGCCTGAACAATACCACGAGTATAGAAAGCAGAGGATTAAAACCAATCACCATAATCATATTTATTTACAGAAGATGTTATGCACCTGTTGGATGAAATGATGAGGGATTCAGTCTTGGTCATTTTGCCACTTGGGGGCAGTCTCTCTAGAAATGTGTCCATATTATCCATTTCTAACTCTGTAGTTGGAGTCACTGCCTCTGGAGGCTCCTGATGGGAAAAATACAATCAAGTTCAATTTCACATCACAATTAAACCAAAATACTGTAGATAACAATAACCATACACATTGATAAAATCTGATTTAATGCTTCTAATATGCATTTTTAATCTTGCAAAAATGAATTATTGCGATATTTCACGATCCTCTTGAGAAATACGTGTGTACTCTGAGAGCCACACGCCAATACTTTATCAGTCATTTTGATTACATGTGTAAATGTTTCTCAAAACACATCTCCAAACCCACGAAAATCTTTGTAGGAGAACAGATAGCTCAAAAATCATGTCTGTTCTCCCCCCAAAAACATCAGTTGTAACCACTTGTGCGTTTAGCCGACCCTGATATTAGTGTCTTCAAACACAACACGTATCATCGCATTATAACGGGAGTATTTGACTTTTTGACACAGATTCTCATACTCACAAAGGGTGCATTGTCAGACACAGCGTCTTCCTGAAACTTGGCCCCACTGCTTTTGGCTTTTTCTGGGTCGAGCTGAGGGAAAAAAGAAAGAAAGAATATGAAGAGGAAACTGTGTCTCTCCAAGCTTCAGCCGTCGTGTTGCATTTCACACAACATTTATATCTTATGTTGCAATGGGCCGTTTCCCTTGTATTCATTTTGACCAGGTTTGTGCTCGTGATAAAGCCTAAAGTTGTTTGTGAATGATTATTGAGAGTATGAGATTACTGCTGTTTGGTTTTTAGTTGATGGGAGATATGAATGGACTAAAGTGGAGATAAGCCGTATTCTCATGCATTTTAATCATTAACACTTTGTAGGACAGGACCATTTGTGCCGGCACAGGATGACCTTGTTCTGCTAAGAGACTTATGCTGAATTCAATTAGTCTGAGTAAGTGCAGTGGGGTCTGCGGGTCAGGGGCAACACAGGACGGTCAAGGTTATAAAGAGGTGACCACATTAACACATACATAGGGATAAAGACCAAGACATACATAGTGATAAAGACCAACATTTATCATACCTATATTACTAAGATTTCAAATGGAAAAGTAGGAGTGAAAAGGACAAAAACATCTCAACAAAATCATCGACATTATAACAAAGGCTATACATATATTATATACTGGTTTCACATGTTAGGTTTATTCATTCATTAACATTCCCTTGCAGGTGGTTATTTCACTTTTGAACAATATTCTGATTTTCAAAGTTTCACCTGTATATATTTTTACTTTTAACTTAATTACTTCATAATTCCCAGCATAAATCTTGCACTCACTGGGCTGGGGGGCTCTCGGTGACTCCTGCTGCTGTGGATGCTTCCGATTTCTGTCTGAGAGCTGGAGAGGGACAGACCCTCAAAATATGGCCTGAAACAGAGACATTTCCATAAGTCTGTGGGTAATACATACTTATACTTATTATGCAGAAGTAAAAAAGGCTTCTGATTCGGCTGACAGATATGCAATTTGTCTGTTGTCAAAATTGTGTGCGTCAGATGCATAATTTATCATTTATGAAAGTAGCCCAATCTTGAAAAAACATAATGTAATTGATTTGCAGGGGACATTTAATCTCATGAATTCTCGAACAAACGTAATACCTGCCTTTGTATTCACTGCCCACAAGGTGCACAGCATAAATACATGTCTTTCTTTTTTTATCTCTTTGTTGAGAAACTGTAGTGAATGAGACAGAAAGAGAGAAAGAGAGAGCAAGTGGACTATTTGACAGCAGAAACACGTCAGGATCTGGATGCCTAGTACTGTTTTAAAAAGGGAAATAATAATAACTTAAATGTTCAAGCCTCGATTAACCCAATGCAAAAGCTAAAACAAACAGAATGCAACCAGTGTTTATCTGTCTAATATAGATTGAATAAAACAGAGGGTTTTGGGAAAAGGTCTTACTTCACACATCAAGGAAGAGATTGTCTTTTGTGAAAAAAAAAACTAAAAAAAACACACACAAAAAACATTGTGATCTCACTTGAGTTTGGGTTTGGGTGTACTGAGAACGCTATCGTCGTCGTCCAGCTCTGGTCCACTGTCGCTGGGGTTTTCAAACTCCACACTGTCCAGGTCCAAGTCCTCTTCTTCCACCTCAGGAGGGGGCTCTGCGGGGTCCTGCTCTGAGTCCAACACCTGCGCCCAAAACAGGGTAGTCTTTAGTTTATAACTGTACAGCTGATCGTGTATTGATATTTGAAGAAGGCTGAGGTTAAGCCTTCACTATACAGAGTTCTATATGATCTATATCAGGGGTCAGGAATATATGGCTCTTTTGATGCTTGTGTCTGGCTCTCAGACAAATCTTAGAATAAGCATTCATTGCAGAATTTATTTAATTTTTTCAGTATAAACATTTTATTAAACATAAAAGAATTCGTCCATCCAATTACTGTGCAATAAATCCTTCTATTAACAAAACCAAGAAGAGGCTACAGTGGCACTCGCCTCGTCAGACACTCTGAATCGTTTCAGCAGAGCCACCACTCTCTGCTTGAAGTTCTGTTGCTGTAACACAAAAACACATGAAACCATGTCAGGAGGATTCAGAATATTTAGACATAATTTATAGTAGTTGCAATTAAAAAAGTTTTGACTACAAATATATCAATTTAAAGAAGAGTGACAATAAAAGATTTTCAAAAAGTAACTATTTGAGGTCAGGATTCATTTATTATAAATTCTTCATCTAAAATGTTGTCACTGAATATATCTTGAATTCCATAGAAAAGATAAATGACTTGTCGAGATGGCAGCCTGGTTATGATAAAGTATTTTCTCTGCATGCGTCTTAACAGTATTTGATTCACCCAGAGAGTTGGCAGCTCATCGATCCTGACTGCACTCATGTAAAATCAATAAACCAGCTGCATCACGCTTCATCTAGCCTAAAATGCTTTTATCTGCAGCTAAAGCTAACTGGACTGTGAAATACTGCACCAGAGGAAAACATATTTAGGATGGCTCCTCCAGGGTAATTGACTACACACATGTTAAACAGTAGTACTGCATTAAAGTCAAAGACAAATATACATTTATTATTATATCCATTTCAAATCAATGTGTATCTCAGAGCACAGAGTTAACATTTGAATCAATTGAACTGGAAAATAAATAACATTAAAACATGATTCAATTCTAAAACCTGTTTAAATAATAAATACTCAACAACTGGCTATGGGAGAAGTGTAGGGTCTGAGAGTGTTTTTTGTGTGTGCGTGCGTGTGTGTGTGTGCGTGTGCGTGTGCGTGCGCGTGCGCGTGCGTGTGCGTGTGCGTGTGTGTGTGTGTGTGTGTGTGTGTGTGTGTGTGTGCATCATAGTTATACTTTATAGTTACAAAATAATCCAAAGCATGTCAAAATTATACAGCATTGACTGCATTTCTTTTGAACTGCTGTAGGTCTCCGGTTGGAAAAAGGTTGGAGAACCCTGATCTTGGATCTTGTATTGTATTACTGTGCTTACTGTGCAGTATTATATTTTAACCAGGAGTTTTATGATGATTCATGTTTTGACAATGTTCTGCCCGTTTCATCTAACCCCTGAGAAAATGGATGGATGGAGGTTTTATTTGATAACGCAATTCTGGCAAAGCCTGGGCCCATTACAACTTTGAATAAAAGATTCAGATGAAAGCGCACTTCTCTATGGGTTTGCTGTATTCTTTTTGAATCTAAAAAGGACCTCAAATTGAATGTTCATCATTATGGGGTGAATAAAGGTTCACTCAATAATAAACGCTGTTACAGGACACTGCAGACCTTTGACATGTCTCTATCCACGTCAAAGAACTGCTGGTAATAATCCCATAGGAGCCGTTTCCTGGAGTCTATCGTCTCATCTCAGTTGGAGGACCACTGTTTTTGTGAAATGGATATTTTGTATATGACGCAGAGGTTGTCAAGCCAACATTTTTATTTTAAATTGAAGTCTTAAATTGAAGGCAAGAAAAAGTGGATATCACCACTCGGGCTGCTGCTACTGTATTGAGTAATTTAGTAATCTACAAGTAATTTAGCAATCTAATACTTTTACTTAATAAAATGATCTATCCACTTTTTTAATAAAAAAAAGGCTCACAATAATATTGAATTAAATGCGTTTTAGAAAAGATTAATTGTAGTTATATAATTAAAATGTTTGTTTCCTCATAAACATCTTACTTGTTCCTATCACACAGTTTGGTTCTATCACTAAATGGTTTTCACACTCAACCAATCAGCTCTCAGCCCAATGTGTCACATAGAGACCCCCATTGCTCTTTCATAGTATACAGAAGATTAAAAAACATGTCTAGCAAGAAAAAGACAGCATGATAAAAACATGTTTTACAAAACACACATCTACAAGACTCTTTCTGTTGGGGCAAATAACATACAAAAGTGTCATAACATTCATCATGCTATTGAATCATTTTGTATTTTTGATAAAACATAATAATATTGTGTGTTCTTACTCTCGTTATAGAAGCTGTCCTCACAATAGACCTTCTCTGTTTCTTGGGTTTCCTCACATCATACTCGTCGTCTTCCAGATCCTGCACAGAGAAGAGTGTTTAGCAGAACTAATCCTTCCTTTATGAATTAACTAAAATAGATGATGTACCTGTCCCTGCACTGCGTCATCACTGGCCTCCTGTTCCGAGGAGAAACTCTCATACTCCTCTTCTGAGTAATTATCTGAAACACAAAATCAATCAGTGGAAGTTGCTGTCGTCGTTATATTGTTCTGATATAGATGAACGGCCAAATCTAATGAGTGCATCTACAGTAGCGTGTCCTTTACAGACACACACTTAGGACGGGGGCCACGATCATTAGCAGATAGTGTTGGCTTATTGATTCATGTTGATAATGCTGTCAAGAAAAGTAGAGATTATCCCAAGCACTGAAGCCAGCGGTAAAAAGCAAGGACAGTGTGGCTTTCATAAGAATAGCTATTACCTACGTTGCCATGGTGATTGAGTAAGGTAAGTTGAAAGAAAGAGAAAGCAAGAGTTTCTAACTGCGAGCCCTAATTGTACGGTGGACAACGGTTTTTTTAACCAAAGCCAGCAGGATTAAGGTTTTCTACAATAACAAGTACTTTTCTTAAATGACTATAAGAGAATGAATAATAAATCATCATGAAATAAGTACCAGAGCATTTGATTTTCTGTCCCAAGTTCAGCGCTGGGTCCTCATGGTCGATGGGCTGACTGGACAAGGAGAAGATCCAGATTTCGGCCACTTTCCCCAACATCTCCTTCTGGTGACTGCAGAGCGAGAGCACCTGGCCCCCCTCCGTCGGGTGCTGCATCACCTGAGACAAGGACAGAACACGGTACAGTGAGTCGGTACATACCAGTAAGGTCAGATTAAGACACAAATATAACCAAGAGAGGAGCATTCAGGGCAGATTGGAAATGAATCTTCTTTCTTAAAACTGTTTAAAGCATAGACCTGAATACTAAACCTGAAACTATACCATTTTTGATAATAAAAGGCAAAAGTAGCTCAGTTGATAGAGCATTGGCCTTTGAGCCTGAAGGTCGTGGGTTCGAGTCTACCACAAGACTTTCTCCACCAACTCCCACTGATTTCTGCTGTCGTTGTGTCCTGTGCAACTGCAAGACACTTCTGGGAACACCTGATGCCACAGTGGGGCGGCTGCGGCTGTAAACTACAAACTACAAACCACATACTGGTTGCCTCGCTTCTGTCAGTGTGCCCCAGGGCAGCTGTGGCTACAGTAGTAGTTTATCACCACCGTGTATGGAGTGAAAGAATAATGAAATGTAAAGTGTCTTTGAATATCCTTAAAGTGCTATATAAAACTGATGCATTATTATTATTATTATCTAGAATATAGACAAAACAGAGTAACGTGAAATTCAGTATGATCAAGATCTATCACAATTTGCAATAAAAACAAACAGATTTAAGTTTAAAAGCAACAGAGCCACTGCCCTAGTTACCATATTAAGAGGGGGTGATGGAGTACAAGGCAACCACATAAAGAAAACGAAAAATCTGCACCATCTATAGACCATCTATAGACTATACAATGACATTAATAAAAAGTACTCTATAGCTGGGCAACAATTTCTTCTTTTTTTAAATTAGAAAATATGCTTTTATTCCTTTAAGAACAAGTTCATGTTGAAGGTGAAGATGTTTCTGTACATGTTATTGTGGTGCAACTTATCTGTAATCTCTCTTCTCTAAACCTTCAGAGTATTTTTATATATATTTATCGAGCTTTTACACAAACCAAGGCCAAACATTTATGCCTGCAGTACATTCAGTTATGGAACGGTTTGGAAAACGAAATCAAGCAATGCTCATATGGTGTGGTACATGGATTAGGAAACAGAATAAACAGCATTTTTAATATATTACACACTTTCATTATATTATACTTGCCGTTAAAAACCACATTGGAATTTTGTTTGTGTGTGTATCGTGCTTTGCAGCTGCAGAGAAGTGACCTCAATAAGTTCCTGTGAGTTTTGAGGCTGGATCTGTTTTTACGTACACAGTCCCTTCCTAAAAATACTGAAACTATGTCAAGGGAACTGCTTTCAACATAACCTCGATGTTAGTCATACATTTCTTTTCACCTTGAGGAATAAATTAGCTCTTAAATCTGACGTATAGTCCCAGGAGGAGCAAAGAAGGATCTGATTCTTCTCAAAGTTCCACTCTAATTTTTCACTGGGGATTTCTCAGCATAGGATTTCTCATGTCGCAAGTTTAACATGCTACTTTACCAAATAGATAACACCCAATGGGGCTGAAAAGAAGCTGCACTGTATCACGTATTTAATAGAATTCTGTAAAAAAAAAAAAAAAGAGAGAAATGAGAGGAATGATAAATACATCTGAACAAGATGTTGTGAATTTGCACCTCTGATATAGACCTGGATAGTGAGAAAAGTCCACTACTGCAGCATTTTTCTTGCTGTGAGAAGCTTTGAAAAGCAATTTCTGTTTTGTAGTTATTCCACATTTCACCCTTTTATGTTCCAGAGTTTAAATGTTGTGCAGAACAGCGCTGAAACTAAAAAGTGATTGAGGACCACTAAAATACATAACACAAATAAGTAAAAGAGAAAGAAAAAAGTAGGGAAACGTTTGTGGGAGGTCAGATCGCTGTATAGAAAGTTGTGGTTTTATGTGAATCCCGAACCACAACACATTGATAGTTGTCTGTATATTGTTATTAAAATACTTAACATTGAGATATGATTTTTGTTTTGCCATCATCTCCAATTCTGAGTTGGTGTGAGTGTTTTTCCCGCACTTGCCTATGGACCCTCTAGTGCTGGTTCCTTCGTACCTCAGACATGTCGATGGATCCCAGAGCGAGAGTCTTGTACCCCAGTATAGTCCTGTTCTTGTAGCGTTTCCGTCGCTGCAGCATAATCTGCAGCTTGTTCCCCTCCCGTTTCAGAAAGTGTGGATACTGAGGAAACAAGTCAACAATCAAACAAAACATTTACAAAAAAATGTGGATTTTTAATATGTAGTGTTCAGTGGCTTGTTTTACTGCCAAATCTTATTGTAATACAGTGAAAATGTACTCAAATCAATACAATCTTTCCATACATCAAGCAAATATTTGAGCAAGTGACAACTGCATGAAATATAGTGGAATACTGTAACTGTAAAATAAAAGAATAAACCAAAAGAAAAAAAAGAAAAAAAGTGGTGACAGGCGCCGTGTCGCGGATTGCGTTGCAGAAAATTGTGTTGCCCTGGGCAGCAGTCATTATTGGTTTGAGAGGTTTGTTATCAAGAAATAATGACTGGTAGACCGTTTTGAAATTGCATTCAAACCAATGGAGCGTTCTACTGCTGCTGTGAGGACATAATATTTAGATAAGTTCTATATTATCTCTTAATTGTTAGTTTCTCAGCCGAGACTGACACAGCGTATGTGCCTACTAGTATTTCATTTGTGCCTGGACGACACTCTGGAAAAATAAACCCCAGGAAGAATATGTTTATAAACTATAGTTACCTGCAGAGAGAAGGTCAGGGCCAGTTCTGTCTCCACTGATCCACTGGGAGGCAGCATGATCTCATGGGACCTCAGGATGCGCTTGGAGCCCTGTGAAAGAGGTCAAGTTTGTATTACGTTATATTTCAACTAAATTTGTCTTGGCAAAAGTCTCTCAAAACAAAACCTCAAACCTGTATTTTAACTGCGATGACGACAGAAATGAGCTCCTTATCCAGTTCCCGCAAAACAATCAGCTTCTTCAGGGTCAGGCTGCACAATCTGAAACACATGAGTGGACGTGAAAACAATGACAACAGCCACGGTTTGATTATTTCTTTTTAATTCATTTTGTATGCATTTTTTGTTGACTTGACAAAAAAAAAAGTAAGCTTCTTTGTGTTTAACAATGAGTATAGTTCAAAATACATTAATCACCGACGAAATTATGTGACAGCCATGTCAATAATCAATTCACTTGTCACATTCCTGATATTCTGACAAACGAAAGAAATAAAATAAGCTGCTTTCAAGCTTTTTGCTCTGCCTGAAATAAGACAAAACATTTCTATTGTATTAGCAAATTATATTGACAGTCAAATTGAGTTTCAGGCCTGGGGGGGTCTTGGGATCAAGCGAGGCTGAGTTGAAACAAAAGATGTTAAAGTCATAATGGCCCGAGGAAATTCAATAAAGAAAAATGATGGTCATAGAAAGTAGCAAAATAATTGCAGAGGAAAGACTCTGGAACTTTCTGCTTCTGCCATGAAAAATGGTAATGTCAGACAATGAAACATTCAGGTGAATAACATCCCCGTGAAGACCAGCAGGTGGCAGCACCTTTAAAGAAGTCACTAATTGCATGATTGATTTAAGAGTTTAATCTACTAGTTATAATAAGATTGGCTTAATGATACCTCAAAAGTCTCTATCACAATTTGAACAGGTTTAAACTCTGAAAACATAACCAGTGTCCGTCTGTAGTAAATACAAACTGAATGGAATGGACCATGTTAACAATTGAGGTTACAGGGCCAGTGTTTCCAACTTGTTTTGGAGATATCTAAATATTTGGGGAGACATTTTGGCTGTTGTTTTGTGAGTGACGCATACAGAGCAAATACAGAGAAACATCTGGAGAAAAGCAAATGCAGTGATTTCAGTTGATTGTCCAAGTTCTGAGAATTACCAGTGTGCACACATACAGTCCGTCCGTTGATGTGTGTGCACACTCTGGTACCAAATAACCTGTGCTAATCAAATAATAATTATAAAATTGAGGAAGCTGAATTAAAATCAAAGTAAGAAGACCATATTATTAACTTATTTCAAGTTCTAAAGTAGCTCAAAGTGTTGTAGAACAATTCAAATCACAACAATGCCTTAAAGCGCGGGTTGATTTTCCACAGAATCCAAATAGTTTCCAATCAAAAACCCTGGTTAATCAATAGAATTCACAGACTAGCTGACTTATTACATTACAAAGTTATACACTTACAATACAAAACGACTTATGTGGGAATCTCAGCTTTATTCTTGTGCAAATTTCTCTACTACCTGACAAAAGTACTTTTTACACTGAACTTAATCTCAAAGCTTGTGCAACACTGCCCCAATGTTACAAACTATTTGCTCCTCTATTTATTAGACGCCCAAAGTTTTGGCACACACTTGAGTAGTTTTCTTTGTGAAATTCAAATGAGCTGTTGCCAGTGGGATGAAACACGAATTGGCTCAAAATCAGAAAATCCTTCTAGGCCCCACAGTTTTTCTGCCGTGAAAACTTAATGCGACCAGAGTGTTTGGAGCTAAATCCCCTTGGAGTTGGTTCACTGGTGACATGGAGCAGAGCCTTGGCACATTTCAGTCCTTGTTCGTGTAGTAAGTGTACATTTTAATAAGCCTGTCAGGTTTCCAACCACACTCTACCATATACAATAAAGTCGCAAACACACAACCACCTTTCCCTGACAAGTTGGCAGCCTAAATATAAACAAGCCCATTTATCATCCTGTTGATTCTTCTGTTTTCCTCAGCTATGCTTAAGTTCCCATTACTTTACATGACATCACTGTTGAGCTATTTGACTTGTTTGAGTAATATGGAAACAGGTTATTCACAGCGAAGAAAATTGTAATACTGACTTTCCAGATGGTATCAATGTACATGTCAGCTTCATTTATATAATCCAGGCTCTGAGCATGTCTCAATCAGATCTGATGCTCATGACATTGCAGTGATTACGTATTTACCAAGGCAACATCTCGAGGCGCCGTATTATCAATGTTCTATGTTGGAATTAAAACAAAGATGTCAGCCCAGTAGCGCCAAACAGGTTGAAGCCATGTTTCTGGATATAGTACTTTTCATTGGGGTTATGTAGACTGCACTTTGACTGACTATGGGAGACCCTACCCATAGAGCCTGGGATGCATAGCTCCGAGGATCATATGAGGTGGGTTTATGGGAAAGTAGTGAAAAAACACAATTGAGTAAAATAATTTGTTTAATACTGAGGACCATTCCAGTCGAGTCAAAGCATATCCACGGAAACAAGCAGATTGCAGACCCAGTGTTCAATAGTAACGCACAGAATACACTTTTATCACAAAAAAACGTTTCTTTTACATTTTCTAAAACTTTTCTCCATGTGACCAGCAAATTGGAAGACAAAAACAGCTAAAAAGAAAAAAGTCCTAAATGCATGTGTATTTGTCACCTAGTTGAACTCAGTGGGTAGACTTGTTTCTGATGTTTTGCCAGGACAGCCTTTCCCCAAAAACACTTCCTTTTCTTTTATGTTATATGCTAATGGTATATCCAGACTGCATGACATCACTGCTGAAAAATCTGTGCTCCTTAGAAAAGCTGTGAAAAGATTAGCACAAAAGCTAAGGTTGTTGTGATGCTAAGTGAAAATGTAGAACGGGTTCGTGGGAATAATGGAGATGCTGCAATTTACTAATAACAACTAACGGAGAGGGGTGTCGTGGTGGTGAAATCTAAAGCCGCTGCTATTTCGAGGAAAGGAAGGACGCAAAATAGGACAAAGACACACAAATACCAGCCAGTCCACTTTCACTGTTTGTTCAGAACACAGATACGAAAAAATAAGGAACCTGAGATACTTAAAGGACAACTCACCCTCAAATCCACTTTTTTTTGCTGATAAACGGTATAAATGAGTGTCCAATAGTGTTGTCTACATATCCTGGTCATATTTTTGTCACTTTGGTGCAAATTAGTTTAAAGTTAAACTTTCTGCCTAAAACCGTCTGTGAGGCGCCATCTGCTGGCGACCTGTATTACTACATTTGAATTTTGAATCTGGCGCCAACACTGGCGCGGCAGCAAGACCTGACGTCTGAAGTAAGACCTGACGTCAGCAGCCCCCCGCCCAGAGCAATGTAAACGGCCCAGTCTCGTTCACGCCCCCTTTAGTCCTCCCGGCTACACCCATTTAGAGGAAGATTTGAACAGGAAATGTGAGTGACGTAAGCTCCGAGGAGCGGGGGTGAGAACCACTTTAAAAAGGCGCAAAGGTGGAAGTAGCTCAGAAGAAGGAGGGACAATAACATTCTACCGTTGTGCCCTTAGGCAAGACAATCTACACAGAAAATGGCTTAAATAGGAAGTGAGTGACTAAAAAGTAATAAAATCCATCTAACTAGTTCCTTGGTCTCAAATTAGTTTGGTTCTATCACATGCAAGTATTTTTGGCCCTCTGTCACATTTTTGGAGCTTTATCAGACCTCAGATCAGATCAGCCCTCATCCCAAAGCATCAAATCGCAGGGCTCTTTCTTCAAGATATACAAAAGATGCATGTTTTGTCTTAGGATGAAGACATGATGGTTCGTTCTGATTTGTACACAAAATGTTACTGTTGTGTTGTTATAAGTTATGACATCAAAAACGGTTTACCACAGCTTTATGTGTGGCTAAATAACAAAATAAATGAATAGTCTTTGCTTTCCAAATATTGTGTATCAACTACAGTCTATTGTTTCAACAGTATGAAGTACATCAGATGGATGTCATTTATACGGATACACATATAGCCGTAGGATGGAGCTGGCAATATTACAATAGCAGTATAAACTTGACAGCAATGATTTCAGTATCATTTGAAATGCTACCGCTCATCAAAACTGAACTTTTTGCACCGTTAGTGTAGGGAAGAATAGTCTTTACAATTTTTAATAGTGTAGTTAACATGATCTGATGTGACATTAGCGTCAAACACAGCCTCAGGTTCGTTTCATTGTGTATAGATTTACTCATACACTGCAAAAAGTGTATTAGTGGCAAATGCATCTAAATTTGAGAGCATTTTGACTGCCTTTTAACAAGATTTGCTAACGTGACAAGCAAAAAGATCTTGTTTTAAATAGATGTGTGGAAAAATGCCCACAATTGTAAACCGCTTTGTGACTCTGGTCTGTGAAAGGCGGTATATAAATAAAGATTACTTACTTACTTACCGAAATAAGACAAAATGGCTGGTCCCATTGGTAAATCTTGTTTTAGGACATCAGAATGTACTCAAAGATTATTAACAATTATCACCTCATATTTTATTAATTTTGCAGTGTATATTTGAGATGAGAAAGAAATGAATACGCACATTTTCTTTTCAACAGTGCTGTGTAGTTTGACACCTCAGTGTACATGTAATTCAACACACAATGTAGGTTATTCCTTTCATTTTTGCAAAGTCAATGTATTCTGATCGAAACATAACCGTACAGACAATTTGACGTTCTGAATGTTGTAACTTCCAGATGCTGAGCAAATATTTCTGGCATATTGTTAATAAAACTTGGGATGTATCTGCTGCACTGACACAGCAGTTTACTGAGCTCAGACAATGACAGTTCTGAAGACCATGTGAATAAGGAGCTTTCTTTCATTGCGAGACCCACGACACGTTGGGTACAAACAATGGATCATCACCACTCAATGATCCTTTTGTTTTCCCTATGAACACAATGCTTTCTTCTGTCCTATTTGGTATTGTTAAAACCCACGTTCATATATATTCAAGCGATGCAAGGTGAGAGCAAAGTAGACTACTGCAGTGATTTACCTGATTAAATTGTTTCTTTAAAAAGTTGAATGTTGAAAGGACCATCTAACGTCTTTATTCTGCGTGTCCTGTGGAGCTCTCTAAGGTTTCACAAAGGGTGGTATGTTTCCGTTACAGCCCCAGGAGATGACACATTCTGATGGATTTCACTCAAATACATTTCAAATGACACACAGTTTAATTTGTAAGAGGAT